CATGTGTGTCATTAGATCCGATCGTATTGTCTTGTTGCTGCTGCTGCTGCTTTTATGCACGTATGGCTCCCGCCATTTCCGATTGGTAGTTTCTCGAGCTACGTCTCTGACGTGTAGTTCCAAGATGGCCATAAACGCTTCCAATACAGCACCTCAGCGTGGCAAGAGGACCACGATACGATCCAGATAGGACCTCGATAGTTCAAAACGGCCCCCGAAACAGCGCAATCATAATATGATCGCAAACACGGATCAAGTAATCAGGTCAGGCGCCCGCAAAGGGCTTCAGAGCTTCCCCAAAGAGGCCCCAGTAGACGAATGTGTTTCACTTCCCCTCCTTTCTGTTTGCTCGCCCCGCTGTGTCATTCATTTTTCCCACTCCTAACCCGCCGTTTCAAATGTGTATCTCATCGTTTATCGTGCCAATCCGTCTTACCCCCCTCCCTCTTGCCTTCGGCGCCCCATTGTGGAACCCTCGCCGTGGGAGTGGTGTTAGCTTAGCGTGCGCCCAGCGCGCCGCGCCACGCTGCCCGCGTCGGTCCGCGAGTGCACCGCGCGAAACTGTTGGCCCTCAATCGGGGCAGGACTCTAACATATCCCCGCCGCGTGTATCCTTGCCCCTAATAGCCTATTCGCCCGCCCTGAATGCAGGTGCCCTGGCCTATTGTTTTCCTATTTTTTCCTATTACCCAAGCCAATTCTAATCCTATCGTGGTGCTATTTATTTCCTAATTCCTGACATGCCTCTCTGTGACGGCAGGGCCGTCCACAATCCAAGACGGCCCAAGAGGCGCCCAAGACGGTCTACGAGGCCTCCGGGAGCGCTCCAAGGCTGCGCGCGAGTGGCCCAGGACGGCCCCAAGACGGCCGAAGAGAGCCCCAAGACGAGTTCGAGAGGGGTCCCAGACGGAGAAAGCCAACCTCGAATTCCGAGCTTCCTGCCCAAGAGGCTCCAAGAGGCGCCAAAATGCCGCCAAGAGGCGCCAAAAGGCTCCCAAAAACACCCCAAGACGTTCTGAGAGGCACCCCGAGAGAGGTCCAAGAAACAAAAATCGTGCCATTCCGATGGGAAAACGCATATGTTTCGCATGTTCGCATCTTGGGCTTTCACCGCGTCCAAGACGGCCCAAGAGGCCTCCAAGACGGCCTAGGAGGCCTCCGGGAGCGCTCCAAGGCTGCGCACGAGTGGCTCAGGACGGCCTCAAGACGGCCCAAGAGAACCCCAAAACGACTTCGAGAGGGGTCCCAGAAGGAGAAAGCCAACCTCGAATTCCGAGCTTCCGGCCCAAACATATCCCAGGAGGCGCCAAAACGCCGCCCAGAGGCGCCAAAAGGCTTCCAAAATCAGCCCAAGACGTTCCGAGAGGCACCCCAAGAGAGGTCCAAGAAACAAAAATCGTGCCATTCCGATGGGAAAACCTATATATTTTCGCATGTTCGCATTTGGGGCTTTCACCGCGTCCAAGACGGCCCAAGAGGCCTCCAAGACCGCCCCAAGACGGCCCAAGAAGCTTCCAAGAGGGCCCCAGGACAGCCCAAGAGGGCCCCAAGACGGCCCAAGAGGCGCCCAAGATGGCCCAAGAGGGCCCCAAGACGGGCCCAAGAGGGGGCCCAGAGGGGGACCACGAACCGCAAGCTCGAGCCTTCCGCCCCAAGAGGCCGCCAGGAGGCCCCAAGGAGGCCCCTCAAGAGGCCCCAGGAGACCCCCAAGAGGCCCAAAGGAGGCCCCGAGAAGCCCCAAATCGGCCCCCAAAATGCTTCGAACCTGCTTCCAGGAGGCCCCCGACAGGTTCAGAGGCTCCCGAGAAGCTACGTCAAACTCCCAGCGAGCGGCCGGACGAGGCCCCCCACAAAATCACAAGAGGGTTCCAGTATTTGTATCCTTCAGCGCTCTCTGGCCTTCTTCCCCCTGCCCCCTTCCCTGCGACTTTCGTTGACTCAAGCTCGCCTCCTAGCTAGAACCTAAGCGCGCGCGAAGCGCGCGCGTGGTTCTAGTATATTATATATATATATATATATATATATATACATATATATATATATATATATATATATATATATATGTATGTATCCCTTTCCATCAAGAGCTGAGCGAGGGCGCCCTTCTCCTTCTCCCCTTTCCTCAGCCTCCATCCTTGCACGGCTGGCCGGAAAAATTAGCAGGCGAAGACGCATTGATTATCGGGATGAGAATTCAGCGAATTATTCGTTCATTGGTTGAACGGGATGAACGCGTTCTCCAATTCGGTTATCAGTACTGCCGTCTTCAAGGGTGCACCCCTGGCGCGGGCCTGGCCCCTACCGCAAATTCCGAGTTGTGTTGCATTGTGTAGTGTTCGCATGAATTTGTTTTGGCGGGCTCCACTTTACATGGCGTTGCTGGCGCCGCAGGTATGTATTGCATCGCTTTGTTAATTTGCTTAGCGTGCATTGCCCCGTGTTGCGTTATGCCTTCTCTTCGAGTGTGATGTGCATGCTTCACATCGTTGCGCAGTGCGATGGCACTTTCAACATTGCAACGGGCAGGCGCAAGAGAAACGTTGCGAAGCAGCACGTCATACTAAAGCGAGTGGCATGCGTTGCTCCTCTTGTGCGTTGCAACTCATAGCCACCCATACATACTAACCACTGCAGTGCAGCGCATACGCCTCGCAATGGAGAAATCCGCAAACCAACGAAACGCAGGGCAACACCGAGCAAACCAATTCATATTATGGCAATGCAAGCACAGTGTATCCTCTCATGGCTTTAGCTTGCCGTATGCTCCAGCCATATGTTCCAGCCGTCGATTAGCTTGGGCTGGCCGTATGCGGCGCCGACGGCCATATGTGCGCTGGTGCCCTCTGATTATTGCCCTACGCGCGTGCGCCTTGATTTTTGCTATTGCCCTATGGTTTTTGCCTTGCGGTTGCTACCCTCTGGTTGGTACCATATGGATTAAGGTGCCCTACGGTTGCTGTCCTATTGATTGGGGCCTCATGGCTTGTATCCTCGTAGTTGGTATTTTATGGTTGGCTCTCTATGGTCGGTGCCGTATGACTGGTGCCGTATGGTTGTTGCCCCGTGGTGCTACGCGGATGGTGCCCCATGATGTTTGCCTTAAGGTGGTAGCTTACCCTGTGAACCAATCGGTTCCCTGCGGTTGTGCTTGCCCCGTGGCTCGTGCCCTACAGCTTGGTCTTGGAAATGTTGCAACCGATCGTCAGGGGCCAGCGCGTTGGCATCAATCCGTCTTTAGCTATATGGCGAGTTTTTCTGCAGCGGAGAGGAGGACGAGTCTGATATGTGCGCATCTCCTCTTTTTACTTATCGTCGTCGGCGTCCTCGTTGTCGTAGTCGTCGGTAGCGGCGCCTTCCTCGTCTTGGAGGACGACGAGGAAGAGGAACAGGAGGAGGATGCGACCATGTCCTCTCCCGCTGGGGCGTCAGTGCCTGTTCTGGGGTGGCGGCCCTAGTGGCGAGCCTGCAGTGGAGACCCATGCAAAGAAACACCCTGCTTGCTTCCAGGGTGCCATGGGTTTCTTGGGTTTCGATGGTTTTGCTATGGGAAGTGTGACGTTCCCACACCAAAAATCAATGGTCGTCCTGGGGTCTCAGGGTTGGGTTTCTCGTGGAAGGTTTGGTTGTGAACTGGCCCCTACTGTAACCTAACCCCCTGCTCCTGCCCACCCCTCCTGCTCCTGCTCCCTCCCCGCTCCTGCTCCGGATCCGCCTCTTCTTTCCTTCCCCGCCCCCCCGAGAATGGGCGGCGAGCGATGGGGGGGAAGTGAAGTGAGAAGGCGAAGGCCTTCTCAGAAGGCGGCGGGACTTCTGAGAAGCCCTCGGGCGTTTGAGGTAGCTTCTGTGCCTCTCCCGGGGGGCCCACGGAAGACTTCTCACAAGGCCGGGGGGACTCCCGAGCCCTCCGAGAGGGCCCGCCCCTCTGCGCTTCCCCCTGGGAGGCTCGCCGCCGAGAGCTGCCCGCCCGAGCCCGAGCCCTCCTGGCCACGGCGTCGGCGTGGCCGTGGCGGGCGCGCGCGCCCGGGCGGGCGGCGTGGTCGGGGCCAGACGCGCCCGCTCTCCGTTCCTCGCTCGCGGGCGGGCGCCGGCTCCACCTTTTGCGCCCTCGTGACCTCCTCTTCCTCCTCCTCCTCCTCCTCCTCCTCCTCCTGCTCCTCCTCCTCCCCCTCCTCCCCCCTCCTCCGCCCTCCTCATCCCCCTCCTCCGCCCTCCTCCTCCTCCCCCTCCTCCTCGCCCTGGGAAGCCAACACGTGCTGAGACTCGGCGGCAAGCGAGGGGGGTTGGGGGAAGTGAGATGGAGGAGGCCTTGTCAGAAGGCGGCGGGGCGTCCCAGAAAGCCTCTGTCCTCCCGAGAGGTGTCGGGGAAGGCGCAGGAAACTTCTCAGAAGGCCGAGGGATTTCTGGGCCTTCTGAGAAGGGCCAGCCCTTCTCGCGTCCCCCTCGGGCTCGCCGCCGAAGAAACCAACACGTACCGACACCGCTATTCCCTGGACCTCTCCCGGCTTGCGTTTTGGACAGTTATTTGAAAAGCGGCAAGGAGGGTTTTTCAGGTCGCCCAGAAAGGCGACAATGAGGGGTGCGCAGCGGCATTGGCACGTCCCCCCCCCGCCCCCCCCACTCCTCCCCCTTGTCTCTACCCCCCCCCCCCGCGACGACGACGACGACGACGCCGATGCCGACGGCGACGACGCCCGCCAACCGAGGACGCCGACGGCGGCGGTGGCGACGCGGACGGGAACGGCGCCAGCGGCGACGCCAGCGGCGGCGACGGCGGCTGTACCCAGACATCCGCCGATACGATTTGTGCAGTGCGCGGCCCCAGAGGTCCCGCTACCCTCACCGGGCCAGTTCTTTGCCGAGGATCTGTTTTTGCCTGGAGTCGCCTGGACGTGTGCCTCTCTTCTCGGCGAGGCGCGCGCGCCAGAAGCTATCCCAGCCATCCTGGAGCATTCTGGGCCATCCAGCGCAAAAAGCGCACGAGACCGAACTGCACGGGGAAAGGACGTCCGAGCGATGGCACGTTTGCCGGCCCTGACATTGTGTGCGCCGTCGGAGTCTCGGACGGATCGATGGAGCAGTTCGGCCTACCTGGACGGATCGACGAGCGACGCTCCGGGCTTCGACGCTGGAGTGAACGACTGGGCCAGAATGAATGCTGCACGGTGGGCCCGAAGAGAGCAGGATTGGATTCCAGAAGGGCAGAGAGCCCGCGGGTGCCCGCCGGCACGATGGGCCGAGCCCTTCGGGCACGCAGCCGGGCGCCAGCGCGTGCGGCCCGTGCTCAGTGTTCCGTTCCGTACCGTCGGAGTCTCGACGCTGCGCGGCTCCCCCCTGCGGAGGCGTGGCCGTCGCCGCTGCGGCTGCGGGTCGGGGAGGAGCGGCCCGAGTCCTGCCGGCCGCCTCCCTCGCGCGGGGTCCTCGGCTGTTGCTAGAATTGAGTCGGGCACGTCCCTCTACAGGAGGAATACTCAAGCATAGTCAACAAATAGTCTGGGGACGGTTGTTTGACTGTTTGAGAGTGTTTTGGAGTATGTCTTGACTATTGTTCATTTTTCTTCCTAAATCCCCCTGTAGGAGGACATGCTCGACCTAATGCTAGAAGTGTCCCTGTCCCAAGGTACCCCCAGGATTCTCGGGGGGACCCAGACGGCATCCAGAGCACCCCTCACGAGGCCCAGAGGGCCTCGGGGGCTCCGAAATGGAGCGAAAAGCTGGTGGCACCTTGGGCCAGGGGCGCTTCTAGCAACACCCGAGGTCCGTCGAGCGTTGCCAGGGGTGTCCCTGGCCCAGGGTGCTCTCAGGATTTGCAAAAGGTCCTCGCGTCATCCCCTCGCCTCCTCGCGCTGCGACGAAAACACGACGAGATAGTCTTGCTTGCTGTTCGTCAGCCTCTGGGGGGGGCCCTTTGGGCCTCGGGACCGTCATCAAACGGTTCGGGAAGAGAACCCGTCCCGGGGACAGGGTCCAGAGTTCCAGGCGTCTGCGTGCTCCCTGAACAGAGTTTGCATTTAGGGGTCCTCGTTTTCTCCTCTAAGGAGCTGGGCTTGTCTGTCGGTTTGGGGGCTACGTTGCCGCCGTCGCCGCCCTGTCGCCGCCTCGTCGCTGCCCGTCGTTTGGGCCTGGCTGTCGGTATGGCAGCTATGTTGCCGCCGTCGCCGCCCCGTCGCCGCCGTCATCAGGCCCTGCCTGTCGGTCTGGCGGCCATGCTGCCGCCGTCGCCGCCCCGCCGCCGCCTGCATAGCTGCTCCTTATAAAATATTGCCTGGGGACGTACCCAACCCTCTGGAGACATGAGGCGGCTACACGCAGGACCGCTCAATACAAACGAGATTGTTGAAACACCTACAGAGCGCAGAGAGCATTTCGGAGTGCAACCAGACAAGTGTCCAAACAGTGGATACAAAAGGGCGCGGCTACGAGGGCAACGAGAAGCACCAAGCACCCGAACGTGGCAAAACAAACAGGGCCACGCGAGGAACCAGTAACACCCAGAGGTGGAAACAAAAGAGCCCGCGCGCTATGGGAGATCTTGCCTTTTCTACATGGGAGTCGTCGCCGCCAATTGAAGGCGTCGCCGCCAGCCGCAAAGAAAGTGTCAGCGATAGTGCACAGAATCGCGGCGTCTGGGTTGGTCGTCTGGATTGGGCGCGTGGTAGCCAATGAAAGGGAAGGGAAAGGGAAAACTGGTTGGTGTGCCTTGGGCCCTGAGGATAGGGAGGGACAGGGCCTTCTCCCAGACTCGTCCTCGTCGTCTCCTGCCCCGGCAGCGTTTCGAACGGGATCGATATGGAAGGGCCCCAGGGCCAGGCCCGAAGCCGGGCGCAACCAGCCGCGGGTGCAACAAATCTAACGCCGGGATCTCACGGTATCCTCAGAGCCGCATCCCTCGAGGCACTTTATAAAACGACACGAAGATCGGGACAAAATCGGATCGGGATAACTCGAAATCTCTGAGAATCGGCGGGTTTGGAGGATGTATTGGGCGCCGCGGCCGCTCCAGAGCGTTCCGGAACGCTCTGAGAGCGCTGCGGAACGCTTTGGAGCGATTTATCCCGATCCTAGCCCTGTTATATCTTAGATGGGATGAGACTATCTGAGGTAGGAGGATCGCGGAGCACTAGTGACGTGGGCGATGAATCGGCGACGTCGGCGCGGAGGACATCGGGGTCCACATCGAGCCGCGTCGGCGATGCGTCGGCGATGCGGCGCGATCCTCCGACACGATCCGCTTGGACCCCACATGGGAGGCTTCATGTGATTCTCCACCTTCCGCACTTTCCGAACAATAGTTCGCTGCTTTAGTAGTTGTCTCGATGGACAAAACATGACATAGACATAAAGACATAAACTTTCGGAACTCCGCCGGAGGAGCGGCCAAAACGAAGATTATCATCATTCTTTTTCTCCTCCTCCTCCTCCTGGTCCTCGCGCGTCCGCTGCGCGACGCCTGGCGCCGGCGCCGCCGCCGCAGCCGGGCCAGCTCCGCGCCGCCGCGAAGGCGGCACGAGGCCAGACGACGACGACGACCACGGCGACGACGACGATCACGACGACGACGAGACGACGACAACAACGACGACGGCGACGACGACGACGACGACAACGACGAGACGACGACAAAGACGTCAAAGGCAACCACGACGACCATCACGACGATGACAACGACCTCCCCTGTGAATCCGAAGACGATCGCAACGACGACGATCTCCTTGGAACACCAGAAGACAACATGAACGTCTACGAAAAGAAGACGACGACCACGACAAGGGATCTTTTCTTTATTCATTGTTTTATTGATCGGCGCGGGCCCTCGCACCCTCCCTCCCTCCCCCATGGAGTAGATCTTGGCTGTTTTGGGCGCCTGTTTCAGGCAGGCGTAGTCTCCCACATAGCACGCACTGTTGCAAGCAGTCGCGTTGAGCAGAGGTCCAGAGCCCCCCCCTTCCCTCCCCTTCCGCCCAATGTCGAGATGCTGTATAAGAAAACGATCACCAACGTCTGCTTCGACGACGACGACAACGACAACCCAACGATGACGACGACGAGCACTACGACAACGACAGCGACAACGAGAACAACGACGACGACAACTACCTCCCAAGGAAACCTGAAGACGACGACGACAACAACCACGACGACGACGCCGACCTCCCAAGGTGAGCCCCTCTTCCCCTCCTCCATACCCTTCTCCTCCTTCTCCTCCTCCGCACTTCGCAGCCCCCCCAGGGAGCTACGAGGTCTCCACTGGTCCCCCCTGGACCTCCACTCCTCGGGACCTCCCAGGAGCCCGCGAAAGCTGCGACGGTTGCACACTTCGCAGCCTCCCAGAGAGCCGCGAGGTTTCAACTGGGCCCCCGTAGATCTCCACTCCGCTGGACATCCCAGGAGCCCGCGAAAGTCGCGACAGTTGTACACTTCGCAGCCCCCCAGGAAGCCGCGAGGTTTCAACTGGGTCCCCGTGAACCTCCACTCCGAGACCCCCCAAGAGCCCGCGAAAGTTGCCATCGTTGCACACTTCGCAGCCCCCCCAGGGAGCCGCGAGGTTTCAACTGGGTCCCCGTCTACCACTTCGCAGAACCTCCCAGGAACCCACGGCAGTTGCGACAGTTGCGCATTTCGCAGCCCCCCAGGGACGCAATCAGGACGAAGGAGAGAAGGGAGGAGGAAGAGAAGGAAGAGGAGACGGGGCAGGAAGTAGGAGGCAGGAGGCAGGAGGAGGGGGCGGAGGAGGAGTCTTGGACAGCACAGTGCTCCATTCAAAAAGAGAGCACAGCGCAGGAGGGCTGGGAATAAAGCACGTGGCACGAGGAGGAGGGGGAGAGGAGGTGTGAAAACAGACCGCGCATTGCTCCGTGCAAACGAGAACCCAACAGGAGGGTTGGGACAACATAGTCGGAATCTCCCCCCCGGGAATTTTCCGCACGCCTTCCGTAGTGCAACTTACAAGCGACGACGATGCCGCACCGTTCATCCGAAATATGAGCTCACACGATCCCGGCCCACCTGGTATTGCACTCCCGCCAGCCTTTGCAGACCATTGTGTGCGCGCACTCATTTATCACAAGTCATATTTTTTCCAGAGCCCATTGCAAAATAATTGACGAAATCATGCGTGCGCGTCGTCGCGCGCATGCCGCAATGCTTCAAACAGTGTTGTGAGGATGTCGAAATCATTTTTCCCGAAAGCATGTAAAACGCAAAGTGTTGCAACATCCTTTTTCGAATAAAGGGTTGCGCGCTTGTGCGAATTCTTTCGAAACCTATAGGCCTTGCAACAGGTTCATCAGATTCGACCAAAACGGCCTCTCGCGCGCGCATGTCGAAATCATTCGAGCGCCCTTGCGCGCGTGCTGGGGAGGGGGACGATAACTGTCACATCATACCATGCCGGCCACTCGCGCGCGTCGTCCGCCTGCGCATGTCAAAGTCCTTTCAAAACCTTCATCGCCGACTCGAGGACACCATCACGGTCATCGGCGTGATCAGCATCGTCGCCGTTATGGGCTTTGCCGTCGTCATCGTCGTCGTCGCCACCACCGCTCCTATCATTATCTTGTCTACCGTTGCCGACGTCGCCATGATATCGCGCCCGCCCGAGTCACTGACACGCAATCAGGTGACCGTGCGTCGACGCGGCTTGCGATACGCGTTGGGAAGTGCCAGGTGGTCAGCGCCACCGCGGTCGCGTCTGTCGCGCCGAATCAGCTGGCCGCTGCTCGCGCGCGAGAATGCGTGGGCTAGCGCGGTCGCAGAGGTGCACCAGCCAGCGCCAAGCGCTCATCGCATTCGCGGCCGCATTGTTACGGGTGGGTGGGTGGGATGATTGCGCAAACAGTGGACTTGACAATTCCAAATTTTTGCCAACACTGATTGCACCACGTTGACTGCACCAGGCATGTAATAGTTATGCATGTATGTGTACTTGCCAGACTGGTACCGCCGCCCCCCCCACCCCACCCCGTCATCTTCGTCAAATCATGGTATGCGCGCGCGTTTATTCTATAGTTTAGTTGTTCAAGCATCCCAATGCAAAACATTTAGCACAAGCCCACACTCGCGCGTCGTCGCGCGTGCTTTCCGGAATTGGTCAAACACGGATTCGGTTGCGTAGGGGTTCCGACATTGAGGTCCCCGAAAGCATACGTGTACGTGACAATTTTTCCAACATTTTTACCACCGACGCGTGGACATAATCACTGTCATCGGCGTGATCAATTTCGGCGCCGTCACGGCTTTGCCGTCGTCACCGTCATCGCTCCTATCATCATCGTGCCTGCCTTTGTCGATGTCGTCATGATATCGCGCCCGCCCGAGTCACCGACTCGCATTGAAGTGCCCGTGCGTCACCGCGGAACACGAAACGCGTTGGGAAGTTCC